CTTTGCAGCAGTTGCCATCATCTCATATATGACCCTTCCCTTTCGGTCATCCCTTTTCACTCCCACTAGTAACTAAATTTTCCCCTCTACCGCTGTCTTTAGAACCATGTTGGGTGGATGATCAGAGAACTCGGCATCTACTGTATAATTAAGTAATTGGTTTCTACATTTACCCGAACCTCCCAATTCATGTTTCTTTTACCCCAATAATGACCGATGACACATATTATGTTCCTACACTCGTATTATGCTTTTACAACATTATTTTGTTTATCAACTTTTTATGGAATGTATTTCATCTTCTTCTTTCATACGACATCGTACATCGGATTGTTACTTCCAGACACTTTTTATCCCGGTATAAGAAAGCCGAGTATAAGAAAGCCGAGTATAAGAAAGCCGAGTATAAGAAAGCCGAGTATATCAAAGCCTTCAACATTTTAGTCCAGGTGCCCAGAGTACACCCGGTACCAACCTAGAGATCCCCGCTGACCACAGGCAGCTCGAGTCTCAGGAAAGTCCCGCCAACTTCATCTAAAAAGAAATCTTGTGACTTGTAAAGTTCTGTCTCTGAGCAGCTGAGGACTTCTCCGGTCTCTTCTGGTCCTCGAGGTCCCTCTAGTGCTTATGTGTATCAGTGCAGTAGGAAAAATAGGGCTTGCTGCAGTTTTTTTTTACATGCTCTGGAACTGAACGCTGCGATGTGAACTAGAGCCCAAAATACCATTGGAATACATTGGACGCAGTTTTGATCCGTTCTGTAACTGCTCTGCGCTTGGTGTAATCCAGTGGTGTCACAACGGGGGTGCGGCCCGCACCTGGGTGACACCATTGCAGGGGTGATACCAAAATTACTGACAGTCATTTTGGTGTCACCCCCGCTAAAAAGTCGGGCAGTCGGTCATGGACCGAGAGCCCGACAGTGTCAGGAGAGATGAGGGGACCCGGCGGCATACCTCATCCTGCCGAGTGAACGTCCCCTCCTCTCTCACCAAGATGGCCACCGGCAGGCGTCAATCAGATGGCCACACATGCGCTATGACGTCATCCGCACGCACGAG